GAATGTTAAATTTTAAAGGTGGGTAGGTAAGTTTGGCATAACCGGCGTCGAGATAACTTTTTGTTATATTTTCTCATTGAAGTCGTCATTAACATTCCCAATAGCAATTGAATTATCTTAAGGTGCTTTGACCAAAAATTCCTTAAAAAAATTGTCAGTGCAGTTGGATATTCTCTCAGTTACTTGTGAATATAGCCACGACACTATGTTGTCATTGAGCAGGCTGGCGAAATATAACTGGATGGTTGCCTACCTGCCTGTCAGCCCTCCAATCTGGTGCACAAACATTATATCTCGTGCCCTCATTGGCAACAGTGCGCGTTCGTGTGCTGTTTGGGGAGTGGCTCTCTTAAGGAAGAGGCAGATTTTTTCCGGATGTGTATTTCAAATTTCAGTGCGATCCGTTAGTGGTTTCTCCAAATGACCTTAACTCCCACCTTTAAGTTGACATTCATGTTTCCATGTGGCTCACATCAATGATAGATCATGAATCAGTGGATGAAGATTAATGTCGATATATGCATTTTCTTTGAATTTTCACTTCTATGTTTTCTTTCTGATTTCAAATTGTTTCTCTTTCCTGATTGTATTCTTCTTGCACTTCCCTGAAGTTTGTTGCTCCCTCTCGTCTCTCTTTTAATTTTTTCTCTCTCCTTCTCCGCCATTTTCTTTCTTTTGTGGCGTCTTCATTCTCTTCTTAATGTCCTCTCATACTCCTCCTTCTAAATCTTTTCCTCCCATTCTTTTTTCATATTTCCATCCTGCCTTTTATTTCTTGATATTATTTTTTATCTCCATTTGATTCCTTTACATCTCTTTCTCTCCTCATCGAATCCTTGTGATATATTTCCCTCCCATCATCTTGAGGCTGTTGATTTCTTTTGCTACATTTCTGCTTCTCTCTCTGTTCCATTATTTCTCTTCAATTCTTATTCATGTCCTCTTCATGTTTTCTTTTGAGTCCCCTCCCTCTCACTCCATGCAATTTTCTTCTATCATTTCCTTACAAGATTTAATCTCCACTTTTCCTTCTTGTATGGCGGTACTCGTCCTCAATTGGAAATCTTCACAAGGTGAAGCAGTCTGCGCCATTTTCTGTACTTCGCATTTTGATTGGATTCTTCATCAGCTCTCCTGAACATTGCATGCGTTTTGTTCTGACCTTTGATTAATAAGGACTGGTATTCCCTCCACTAGTTCATATATCAGTAATTTTTTCAAAATACAGTCACGTTTTCTACGTAGACTCTCTATTGTTTTAATCATTCTAGATCATACTCCTCTGTGAAATAATGGAATGTGAAATCTCCTTCTTCACTTTCTTATGATCAGTTCCACTTCATTTTTTACTCATGTAATTCGGACCGATCGTAGCATCATAAATACGCTGGAGGTCTCAGGAGAACCATACGTTTTAGCTCGTCTGTGAAACATCATCATTGGATAGTGTTGTGTCGAACCAACCGATGATCTACGCACAGTTGGTGACAGGTGTCGCCTCAATTCTCTTTCCTGTTGCTTATTTTGCATAAACTTTTTTGTCACTTGAATGTGGTCTTGCAGATGGTAAATATGTTTTTCGCACAAAATGGTGTTTCGCAGTTGCAATCGTTTTCCCACTGCCTGATCTTTTCCCAATCAGCACCATTCCTGACAGCACTTTTCTGATTCAACAACTGCCCATGTCCTCACTTTTTTTTAACATCCTGCAGGTTTTCTAGCTTAAGTTCTTTTGGTAGTTGTTATCTAAACTCTAAACCTTCGTTATCTTGAGCCCTTTGGTAGACATCTTTTCAGTTGTGAAGTCACATGGATCTGCCGACTCCTGGTGTCTTTCCTCACAGTATTTCAATAAGATCTGGATCTGCTGTTCTATTATGCTGTGGTGATGTTGATGAACTTAACCAACCCTGGTCCTCATCAAAAAAACGTTGTAATACTGACCGTTGTACGCATCACTTTGGGCGTAGTATTTTCTACAAAAACGCCCTCTGAAATGTTTAGGATCCTCACGTTTTTTCCACCATATCATTCCAACATTGGCTGGCGTCTATGTCACAGATGAGTCTTCTAAAAATTTTCTCCCTGCTGAAATAAAACAAAACATGCCGACATTCATTATTATTCCTCGATGAAAATGCTATTCTTCAGTTAGTTTTGGCCATTTAATATTTTTTTGTTTTACTTTTATTTTTTTTTTATGATTTTAAATATAATTTTCTTAGTTTTATTTTTATTTTATTTTTCGAGTTGCAAAAGCGTTTTGATGTCATTTGATGCCGAGAACTATGAGTTGTTTTATTTCAGATTAGTGTGCGGTGGGATGTACATGAATATTTAGTTTGCCTAGTTATTATAAGTTTACTTCAGGGAAATGTGTCCATTCAACGTTTTCATTTCATTGTTACCAAGGTGGGTGCTAGGAACGCTGTATCGATATTCTATTTCTTTATGTAACTGTTTAATGGTGTTATCTTTTTGCTACCCCCCTTCCCGTCAATTATATGTGTTGGTCCACAGCGCAAAACGTATTAGTTTACAAAATCCCATCTAAAGAATTGTGGCATAGATACGTTATTTTCCCCTGTGCAATTCCAGTCTCACACCTCACATCACATCGTCATAAACAAATACCGGAAACAGACCGAAAACATTTTTTAAAAATAAAATAATACTTTATTCCAAGTGTGCTTGCTTTTCTCTTTGAAAGTCATCACATAACGGGATTGTAATACACGGTTCGGCTGCATTAAATATTACATATCTGCCGTAGTTCTCTATTTATAGAGCCCTGATGAGAAGACTTCTAGACAAACATGAGGAACTGCCGCCACAACTGAAAACGTGACGTGGATCATAAATATATCAGCAATTAAGCAACATCTTCAGCAATGTTAACTATGTTGAAGCACTTATTTTAACTGATATTATACATATGTATTATACTCTTATAATGCCAGGAAGGATTCTTGCCTAGCTTCTGAAGGAAGTGACTCGGAAGACATGTGCTACCAAGCAAGCATCCTCGCGATTGATAAACGGCCAGAGTTATTTTAGTGTCACTATAGCCACCTTCTGTATAGCTAGTACCTGCATATCAGATTTGTGTTTTCTTTTCAAATCTGCTGCAATACTTTTCGGTCCAAAATCTTCATTACATTACGTGACATGTCATGTCATGTCATGTCATGTCATGTCATGTCATGTCATGTCATGTCATGTCATGTCATGTCATTTGTTAGACGCTTTTATCCACAGCGACTTACATACATTCAGTACTGTGGACAATCCCCACAGGAGCAATTTGGGGTGAAGTGTCTTGCCCAGGGAGACAACGACATGCTGACTGCTGTGGGACTCAAACTTGTTACCCCCTGATTCGAAGTCCAGCACACTACCCACTGAGCCACAGCCTCCCTCTTCAACTAATTGGAGCAAAGTCAGAAATGTCACAAAGCCCATTTCATATAGATCCATACATTTGTAAATAACTTAACATATTAGCCTATAATATATTTGTATAAAATATAAATAATTAATTTGCATATTTACAAACCACACTGTATTTTTGTACTTTACAAAATGATAGGTCTGCCATAGAACTGTTTGTGGGTATTCAAATAATTGTCGATAATGCTTGCTTTTTTGGTGGTGTCCTTCTGGTTTAAGCAGATTTACCATCATCAACTGATATAGACATAATTGTAATTCAATTTTCTTGTAGAATTTATCACACTTGGGACCCATTTAAGGGGACAAATCCAGTGTCAGTTTACGAAAGCGGTGGTCAAAATAATCTTTACTCTTCAGTAACCGGCGCCGCATTGTACTAAGTGTAATGTTGACCTTGAGATCTACCTAACAAGGCCTTTTACTCCCAAACATGTCATTGGCATATAGTTTTATAACTTAATTTCTCAGAATAATAGCTTTATTGTTTTGTGTTAACTAATTATTACGGATATCATTAAAATAGACTGCTGCTCTGCAAAAAGCACAACTGAAGTTAAATGTATATTTTGAAAGTTTTAAGGAGAGGGTGACAGCAGACAGTGTGTTATACACAATATAAAGTAAGTGCAAAAATGCATGACTGAATTGATATGGTGGACAATGTTGTTTTTTTGGAGACCAACCTTTACTTTTTATTGTTATTTTCAAGGGCAATTATCTACAATAGCTAAGGTAGCTAGCTAACTGTGGACACAAATTTACATTTTGTGGGCATATTCTAAAAAATTAAGCAACACTTAAAACTAAAGTAACATGAGACTGTGTGAAAATATATAAAAAATACCTTCACCTTAAGTTGACTGCTGTGACTGTGAGGCTTCAATGTCCAGTGTCTTGGAAAAATGGAGACCTTCTCTTGCTGCATCCAAATACCATTAATTAGCATCACTTTATTCAGGTGTGTTCATCTTACACAGAGGAACGTACCCGGCTAACAGATGCGCAGACCAACCCGTTTCCTCGTTTTTAGTCAGCTGTTCGAATGACAAGTAAAAGTGTCACACGTCGGGGAAAGAGAAACTTTAAAGGCCAAGTGATTTCCACTAACACCCAGGAGTTAGTTTTACGTGAAGTCCGGGGGATATGTGTGAGAAACCGGTCTAACGACGACGCTGTTTGGAATGAAGGGGGGACACTAATCACCGGTGACTAAACGGTAAGAGCAGTGTGCGCCAACCCTCATTCATACATCTTACACTTATATTTTCCTGGTTGTTAAAAGGCAGATAGTTTGCAAAATCGGTTATTTTGAATGTAAAACATATGAAGAGAATCTCAAGGTGAAATCGGCTTGGATGACTGCTAACAAAGCAAAGCGTTACATCGAAAAAAAGGCTGTCCGTATTGTAAAGGTACACACTACAACTTTTTCTGTCCTTGCTCCTGCCATGATGTTGTACCAAGCATAAATAAATTGCCATTTGTCCAAAATACGTGTCGCCTTGAATGCCGAATTTAGAGCAATTCAAACTGCAATTGTACTTTTATTTTCTTATTTTTTTTTTTTGCAGTTTCTGGAAGGTATTTTCCATAACGTTATACATTGTAGACTAACTTGCCTACTTTTTGCATTCAGTTTGGTGAGGAACCTTTTCACGATTTGGACACACTTTTTTAATTGTTTTTTTTGTATGTGTTTTAAACCTAGAAGCCTGAATCCCTGTTACAGCTAGTCCTGAGTAGTCTAAAAATTGTTGTTATATATTTATGTATATTTTTAAAACCAGTTCAGAGATAGGAGATCAGCTGATCTGTTGTTGATTTCCACCTAGTTACATCTCACAGGACCTTTTTTTAATTAATATAATAAATAAAAGCCAACCATTGTGACACTCAATAAAACACTATAATGAGATGACTTCTTACATATTGTATGATATCTCCTGTTTGAGGTGTTTCAGCAAGAAGCATGGCTTGGTTATTGATTTCAGAATGGCTTTAAATTATACAGAAGCAAAAATGATACCTATGCCAAATCTGTCATTTCATTAAATGGGTCTGATCAGCTCCATTTTTGTCCACTGAGATACAATGGTTTTCATTCAAATGTCAAGCAGAATAATCAAATCTACTCAAACAGCCATAGATAAGTAAGATGTTAGGAGAGAGGTGATTCAGTTATAGGCAGGGGTGCACACAACTTTCTCAGTGAGGTACTCAGATGAGTACCTGGAGTCAGTGTTTGGTACTCCAACTTCTGGCTCCCCTCAAAGTACCCATGAAGCCCTCTGTATTGCGAATGTCAACGGGAAATAAATAAATAAACAAATAAATACAAAAGTTTTATTTTGAGTTAGCATTTTAGCCTAAGCAGTCTATAAAAAGCTTCACTATAAGAGAAAGTGATAATGCGGTGTGCTTCTTCGGTTGCTCTGCTATAGAAAAGAAGCTCGTCAGTGCGGAGAAGATCAGGGATGGGAGTTTTGTGAAAGGAGGATTTAAGAACTGGCGAAAGGCAGAGGAAACATTTAGGGAGCATGAGAAGTCCCATCAACACACAGACCGTCAACAAACTGACAGCATTAAAACGAACACCAATGAATGTGCTGCTCTCACAAGCTGTTGCTAAAGACCAAATGACTGCATTTAATATTATGTTATTATACAGGGCCGCCCCTCCCTATACACGCAGATCACGCAGACACCTACAGTGCGCCACAGTTTCGCCGCTGTGAGGCTCCACTAGCCCCCCCCCGGCACCTCCCGCACCCCAACTCTGACTGACTTCCCGTGTGTACCTGGTTATAGGGCCAGCTTTTTTTATTGGAAAGCTACACTGTAACAGGACATGTCTGTCAAGAGGACAGACATACAGTGTGCCAGATGATATACATTGCAGTATATATGATCTTTTGTACATTTTGGGTTGTGTTGATAGCTTTAGGTGATCCCTGCCGGGTGTTCCCAAGTGTCATAACATAAGCGCCAACTTGTTTTGCATCTTATTTCCCTTATTTCAAATGAAATTTGCGATGCAAATTTATTTCCTGTTGACGCCAGATACACTGGAACCTGAATCTGGTTGTGTGTTACAGTGTTACTGTGTTATTTGGATACAGACCAGCATCGCCAGTTCTTCCTAAACCTGTACAAAGAGCAGTATAGTACTGACGGCTAATGTCTTCAAAATGACTGTAGCTCTCCATTACTGTGGAGGTAAGTACTGTCTCTCTTTCAATAGATTCATCGGGTTCTCTTTAAGCTTTGGAAAGGGAAAAAAGGTTTTAGATAACTTTATTTATATGTTTCAACATGATAAATGTGGTGACTTTAGGTTCTTAAGTCAAGTTTAAATCTGATTTATGGACACATTTATAAGGCCAGGATTAGAGATTTAATAGTACTTGAATGTACGTCAACACGATCACTTTTTTGATTTGGTAAAATGTTATATATATATATTCTTGTGTGATACATCATGTGTAACAGAGGACAGGGAAGAACTTATTTCAGTGGGCACCTTTCTATTTGATTTCCAACAATTACGAACAAAGCACTTATATACAGTTCTAATAAAGGACTGGCTTATCTAAAGCTAGTTCAGTAGCACTTGAAATGTTTTAGCTCTATGAAACCTGATGTACTTATATGAGACTGTTTTCTTCAAGTTTGTATCTTCTTGGTTGAATGCACTTATTGTAAGTCGCTTTGGATAAAAGCGTCAGCTAAACGCAATGTAATGTAACTTTGAGCATTGTTTAGTTGGCAAATGTTCCCTTTTTAACATCCTCTTGATTTGTAAATCCTAAAAAAAAAAGTTTTACTGTGTGCTTGCACTTTTTTTAAGTCTGTATTTTAATTATACTTTTCTCACAACATGTCAGCTGTTTGTATGCAGAGTGTACCATCATCAGGATGCACACTTCTGATGACTGACATGAATGATCATTTACAGAGACAGTATGTAAACCGTGAGAATGATGTCAAAGTGCAGTTGGAAATCAGTTCTTCAACTACAGATCAAACTGCTAAGTTTTACCAGAAAAGCTGTTGACTTTTGGTGTTTTCTTTTACTTGGAGTTAAGGGTTTGCTTGTTAGGATTTCCTTTCAGAATAAAAAGAAATAATGTAATTTTATAAGAAGTAGATGTTTTTATACTGTTTTCCCTGTTTTGGGAGTATGTCAAATGTAATCCTGTTGGTTGATGTTGTTTCCCCGACTCAGACTGCAAGGAATCTGGGTGTGATCCTAGATAACAAACTGTCCTTCACTGCAAACATTGCTGCTACAACCCGCTGCTGCAGATACACGCTTTACAACATCAGGAGGATACGTCCCCAGCTGACCCAGAAATCAGCGCAGGTTCTGGTCCAGGCTCTCGTCATCTCACGCCTAGACTACTGCAACTCCCTCCTTGCTGGTCTACCTGCATGTGCCATCCGACCTCTGCAGCTCAT